AAGAATTTATTATGGTCAAGTAGAAGAGACACCAACAAACACATGCAGTGAAATAAGACAGGAACAGATACATGCTCGTAGTACAGTATTCCCTGACTTATTTTTTCATTTTCTCCAGAATTATTTTCTTGGACTTGGAGGTCAATTTTGCCTAGGTAGGAGAGGGACGACGTCACACACACAAGTGACAGAGGTCTGGGTGTTAATTGAACAAAGAGGAGTTTGCCAGGAGAGCAAGAGAGTGAAAAACATATCAGTTTATCTTCAAGATGATCGCCATCAGGTCCTACCCCCTTTAGACAAGCAAGCTAATCCCACCTGGAGAGGTGTGGTCTAGCTCTCCAGGCCTTTGAATTCAGACTGGCCTGTGACTTCTTGACCAAAAGAATATGGCAGAAATGATGCTGAGAGACCTCAGAGGCTAGGTCATAAGAAGTCTTGTAGCGTCCTCCTGAGTCCCTCATGATGCACACTCCATGGGGAGCCAGCTGCCATGTGAGAAGGTCAGCGTCCCTGAGACTGCCATGCTGCACGGAAGCCCAAACAGCTCCAGAGAGAGGCCACGTGGAGAGAGGGAGAGAGATGCCTAGCCAGCCCTTGGCTGTTCCAGCCATCCCAGCCCAGATGCCAGCAACCAGTAAAAAGCCGTCAGCCGTCACTTGACTTCAACCACAGGAGGAAACCCAGGTGAGGACCACTCAGCTAAGCCTGTGTTAATAACAAACCACCTACAAAGGGTGGTTTATTCCGTGGCGATGGGTAGCCAGGACAGACATTCTAGATCCCTGTCGGAGAATGTGCAAAGGCACGGCAGTGAGAACCCCACAGTATTTCGGAGTTCTGCAAATGACGCTGACCTGGCCTGAACTTAAAGTGTCACAGAGAAAGGCAGGGGGTGGGGTGGGGAGATTAAATTGGAAAGGTAATCAAAAGCCGGGTCACGAAGCAACTTGTACACACAGGAACACGCTTTGACTTTACTCTCTAGGTCTTGGGGGTCACTGAAAGGTTATTTATTTATTTGAGTCAGAGTCTTGCTCTGTTGCCCAGCCTGGAATGCATTGGTGGGATCCCCTCTCACTGCAACCTTAACCTCCTGGACTCAGGTGATCCTTCCTCCTCAGCCTCCCGAGTAGCTGGGACTACAGGCACATGCCACCACTCTCGACTTATTTTTTTATTTTAATTTTTGTAGATCTGAGGCCTTGCTATGTTGCCCAGGCTGGTCTCGAACTCCTGGGTTCAAGCCATCCTCCCGATTCAGTCTCCCAAAATGCTAGGATTACAGGCGTGAGCCACCACGCCCGGCCTCACTGAAAGGCTATAAACAAGAAAGTAGCTTGGTCAAATATGATTTCAAAATGGGTGTCTTGCAGAGGATTAAAGGAAGGGAAAACCTGAAGAGCAGGGGCGGGGGGTGGGGTGGCTGCTAACACGGTCAGGGTGACAGAAGTTAAAGGTACTGGAGGGAGAGGGATGGGTTTTAAAGGGTGCAGATGATGGCGTTTCCTGGGGCACATTGGGATGGCTCTTCCTCCGGAAGGTGACAGATCGGGGCTGAGCTGCCCCCTCTTGCCTGCCTGATCTCTCCTTCTTCTGGGCAATGACAGATGCTTGTCATGTGGCCCTCTGTGTTGAGGGAAGCACAGTCGTAGACAGAGAAGGAAAGGATGCCCCTGGATACATAAAGGTTGGACTGAACATGGACGCCACTGCGCCCACCGCTATCAAGGCCAAGTAAAGCCACAGCGTCTGTGGGCAATGTGTCACAATCACAGGAAGGAACAGAACACGCATCGCTGCTGACCCCAGGATGGTCTCTGTCCGGCTCCTGAGCTTCTGGGGCAAACACCTAGACTTCCCGTGGACAAGGGGTACATGTCCCTCTAGAGCTCAAAAGACTCCAGGTAAGTTCCCATTAATACACACAATTTTTTTTTTTTTACCAATTTGATCTCCGCCCCCCGAGAGGCACATTATCCATTTCAGTAAATGAGAGCAATGATTCTTATTGCTCTCTGCTAGTTTTCCAGGCTGCACTCTGTATCCTTAGACCTACTGTCCACTCAGCAGCCTCCTGGGTTGCAAGGACAGGCCAAAGCAGAGAAGAGAGATTTGTCTAAAGTTAAGTAGAGAGCAGATTTACGACCCAGAGGGCAAAGAACTCCCCTGAAGGAGAGGCTGCATTATTTATCTGCTTATTGCCTCAATTCTGTGGAAACACACTGATTTGCCCGGAGGCCCCTGGGAGCAGGTCCAGAGCACAAAGACATAATAGCATCAAGGAAGAAAGAGCAGATTCGAAGGCAAAATCTACCACAAGGGGGAGGAGGGGAAGGGAGACTGAGCAACTACTGAGGATGGCAGGTTTCACGCGTGCTTTCCTGAGCTGGCACCGAGGCGTGTCTCTCTCTCTCTCTCTCTCTCTCTCTCTGTCTCTCTCTTCTTTCTCTTCTCTTTGTTTCTCTCTCTCTCTCTCCTTCTCCCTCTCTCTGTCTCTCTCCTTTTTCTCTTCTCTCTCTCTCCTTCCCTATCCTCTCTCTCAGGCTCTGCCTCTTTCTGTCTCTCCTCTCTTTCTCTTCTCTTCTCTCTCTCTCTCTCTCTCTCTCTCTCTTCCTCCCTCCTTCTCCTCTCTCTCTCTCACTCTCAGGCTCTGCCTCTTTCTGTCTCTCTCTCTGTCTCTCCTCTTTTTCTCTTCTCTCTCTCTCCCTCTAACACACACATATGCACACACTCATACACATGCGTGTGTGCGCACACACACGTGCGCGCGCACACACACACACACACACACACACACACACAGAGTGATCCACCATGCGGCCCTGCCTGCCACTCCACATTCCTTCTCTTTCTCTCCGGGCAAGGGAAGGATTGCAGGACTTCGATGAGGGAGCTTGAGTTGATTCACTGAGAGACCTCCCCTCACATGAAGCACTGACTCTCTTAATTCCACCTGGTGACAGGTATGCAGGAGCTCAGAATTCCAGGCATTAGGCCAGGGCAGGAATTAATGAGGAGGACTGTCTCTGCTCAAAATGAAATTCAGATCAGATAAACCGACACATGGCCCGAGGGCTGGATCGGAATCCTGGCTGTCATCTCCTGCCTGCAGGACTCTGGGCAAATGATTTCATGGCCCTATGCCTCAGTTTCTCCATTTGTAAAGTGCAGCTAGTGATACCTAGCTTACAGAGTTGTGACTATTGGCACAACCGCAGTAGAGAAGAGGGCACAGGGTAAGTTCTCAACAAAAAACCCCAAGGGCAGGAGTAGGCTGCTTCTGGAAGGGGCAGGGGAGGGCTCCCAGAGGTGTGCGCTCTCCCTGTGCCGGTCTCCATGGGAGATGAGAGTCCAGGAAAATAATTCTGGAGAAACTGGGAAAATGAGTTAGATGTGAAAAAAAGTGAAGCTCTCGGAGGCTCAGAGCTACCTGAAATTCCCTACAGTCTTGCTTGAAAGCACAGCAGATCACTCGACCCTTTAATGGAACCTACAAACCCAGTTTAAGAGCTGCACGCAGACGGGAGGAAGGGGACCCGGAAAGGGACGCGGAAGGGAGGGAGCGCTGCTGTCCTTATCTTCAGGGACACGGTGAAGTTCAGCAGGTGAGCCAATGAGCGGCGCCGAACGTGAGAAAGAGAAGTTCAAATGTCTGTACTCCATTTCTGAAGGAAATGGGAAAAACAGAACTTAGAGAGTGGCCAGAAATGAAGCCAGAAAGAAGAGGAATGAAATGAATCTCTTCAAAAGGCCAAGACAGGGAGGGAAGCTTCCCACCATCTGCCTTTGTTCCGTGTGAGGGGAGGGCACCTGTCTTGAGCGGGTTGTGCGCAGTCACGTGGAGCGCGGTCCCCGGGGTGCTGAGCAGGGACGAATGAGGCAGGCGGGATGACAGGCCCTCGGGGCATTCAGGGACTGAATGGGCGTTCTGTGGGACGGCTTCCAGGGATGCACTGCAAAGGCAGGTCTCTGGGGAGAAAGACCAACTCTTGAAATATATGGTAACTGCATTTGGAAAAGAAGGAAGAGGCAGGGCTGGAGCTGATGTCTGGTCCCTCCGTCCTTCACCAGCAAAGGGCCATGTGATTCAAGGGGGATTAAGGGCTCTCTCATTTCCTGACATTTGGTGATCTGGAAAAAACATTTCACTAGAAGCCAAGAGATGGGGGTCTAGTCTGTGACCTTCAGCAAGCTTCCTGCAGAGGAGAAGAGGAAAGCGTTCACTGAGACGTGCATCCTGCTAGATAGGTAAGACTCAACAACTTAGCACGCATCATCTTGTTAGTTCTTCACCAACCCAAATAGCCCGATAATATCCCACCCCCTGCATCCCCTAACACACTGAGCCTTGCTTTGACCAGCGGGTCAACAGCAACGTGATATATGTAGAGATTTGAACATTGCTTGCACATTGAGGTTTGTCTGTTCTTGTTGTGCTTGAACCCTTCTGCCACCATGTAAACAAGCCCCAGCTAGCCTCCTGGGTGACCAGAGACACACAGCCAAGTCATGTGAGTGTGGCCATTCTAGCCCATCCAGCCCCAGCCAAGTCACTCAGAGCACCACAGACAGGTGAATGAGTCCAGAAAAGGTCAGCCAAGCCAACCCAGGCCAGGCCAGAGTAATGGCCCTGGGAACCTACAAAACCTTTTGAGAAATAATAAATGTCTTTAAGTCACTAAAAACATTTTTGTGTTGCTTGTTACACAGCAAAGCTAACTGATACACAAGGGGATTGAGGCTCAGAGACATTAATGACTTGTAGAGTGGCTTAAGTATGAAAGGAGGCTCTCTCACTATAACATACCCTTTTCCTTCGCTGGAGATACATGGAGATACATGAAACCTGAAATATGTGGTTTGTACCCATTGGTACTCCCTTTCCTGGGGACGTCTCCTGTAGGCCTCTCTTAGGCTGTTTCCAGCACTTACGGTAACAGTCCCTTTCCTGCCCCAGTGCTCACGTTCAACCAGGGACTGCAAAGCAGCCTGCCTACCATCTGTCTTCTCCATCCTTGGAGTGCTGGCCCTCAGTCTCTTAGGTGTTCTTCATCTGATGAGTCTGTAAAATTTGTTGGCGAGTTCTGAAAGAAAGGATAGAGAAGTGGTTTGTCTCCTGAGAGTCAGAATAAACACTGGGAAACAGAGCACCAAAGTGATACCCATCCTGCCTCTCAAGGAGGGAGATTAAAAGCCTGCACATATTCCTACAGCTCAATTCTAGTTGTTTCTTTGCGTGGAATGTTCACAATAGTTGACACCAAAGGAAACTCTGGTCCAGTCCCCTCACTTGGCAGATAAGGGAACTGAGTGAATTTCCCTGTCCAAGGTCTCTCAGCGTATTAATGAAGGAGCAGGAAACGGACCTAGGGCTTCTGACAACAAGCACGAGGCCCCTTGTATAATATCAGGAGTTGAAATATACCTATCCCCATCCTGGTAAGAGAAGCATAATCCATTTTGTGAAAAAGCCAGAATCAGAGTACTAATCATAATGTGTGACATTGCAATCAAACACAGGACAAAGGTGAGATCATTGCAAGCACTGACAAGGAGCAGATACTTGGAGGTGATTTCCAGCCAAGGGCAGAACAAGAGGAAGTTCAGCCCCAGTGGCCAGGAGACATTGGTAACTATTCGAGTAGAATAGTGTCCTGCCTCTGAACTAGCGTACCTTGAGGCTTGACCGTAAATTCTCCCCAAAGTTCTAATCCATTCCCAGGACTCTTTCTTCAAATGGTGAACATCTTAGCTCCTGCCCCCATGACAATAAGTCACTTAGGAAACTGGCTTTTTATGAGTGCAACCCCGTCCACACGCATCAGGATAATGAATTATCTGTGACACCACAGCAGTGGAAGCAGGGTTGTTGTAGGCATTCCAACGTGCTTGACAATGAACTTCAAGCCAGAAAAGCGAACCAGTGATGAGGGAAGGGTTGGGGAAAACAGAGCCAGAGAGAAGGAGGCGGCGTGGCCCCCAGCAAGAAAAGATGGAAGACAGGGCCACAAGCAGGTAGCTGGGGAGCTGGGAAACATGAGGCCTGCCAGGTAAGAGAGACATTCTAAAGTCGCCGACCAGGAAGGGTAGTGTAACCTCTCCCTGTGAGTGCCGCCTCCGCCTCCAAATCACAGCCCTGCTTCCTGCCCGGCTCCTCACCTTGGCGGAGCAGCTGCTCGAGGCGCCTTCCCCGTCATGTCTCACGGAGCCCCAGAGGGCAGGCACGCTTTCCAGAAGCAGAGACACTCCTTGCAGAAGGAGGTCAGCGCTAAGTGTGTCTTGCTTCCCTCTGAGGCAACAGTGACCAGCAAGCAGTGGAGTTGGAGGGCGGACAGAGCTGGAGCAGAGAAGTTAGGGATAAGGGAGACGACAGTGGACAGGGTCTTGGGGAGGCTGAGCGTGGCCGCCAAGGAGGCAGACAGTGGAGAGATGCGGAAGGGTCCAACCTGCCCTTGTTATAAAGAGAAGGTTCCCAGGCAGAGGACACCACTGCCCCCTCCCTGCAGTTTTCCAGTCTGCAGTGGGCAACGTTGGCAGGAAAGGCTCGGCCGAGGCAGGCAAAACCTAGGGAAGAAAAGGGTGGGGAGAAGCCGGGCATGGTGGCTCATGCCTGTAATCCCAGTACTTTGGGAGGCTGAGGCAGAAGGCTCACTCGAGGCCAGATGTTCAAGACCAGCCTGGGCAACATAGTGAGACCCCGTCTCTACAGAAAAGAAAATTAGCCAGGTATGATGGGACGTGTCTTTAGTCCCAGCTACTCAAGAGGCTGAGGTGGGAGGATCACTCGAACCCAGGAGGTTGAGGCTGCAATGAACTATGACTGCAACACTACACTCCAGACTGGGTGACAGAGAGAGATCTTGTCTCTAAAAAACAAAGTGGAAAAGAGTGATGAGGCTTGGCCTAAGCTTGGCCCCTCATCTTGGCCATCACATCCTCTGCTCCTCCTCCTGCTACCCTCTTGCTCCCACCCCCATAACCTTGCTGCAAAGCTTGGAACACCTGGGCCTTCACGAATAACTTCAGGCCAAAGCGGATGACAACGATTATTCCCATTTTTCAGGCAGGGAAGCTGAGGCTGACCTGCTCAAGTTCACGTAACAAGCGAGCATTAGAGCAGAATTTGCTCTCAGGTCTAGCTGATGCCACGCCAGGGTTGGGAAGAGAAGTGATCTGTAAACGTTAGTCCACCCTGTGACCCATCCCTGGCTTTCCTGTGAGGGGAAAAGCATTTCTGACTGATGCATCCCATGGGGCACCTGAAGGGGGCCACACCCCGCAGGCCTCCAAAAGAGAGTGCGGCCTGCAAGACTGGACACCACGAACAGGTTTCGGCTGGGGAGAGGGCCGCACCAGTGCAGCTGCACGAACTCACACCATCCACTCGGGGGACTTCCATCAGGCACCCGCCTTAGTCAGAATTAGGAATTCAGCCATCGTGCATCCAGTCATACGGCGTAAAAGCATTGCTCGGCACACATTAGGTCAAATTTCATTAAAAATAACTCTATAGAGACCTCTAAGATTTCTCTTCGACTTGGCTTTCACCAAAATTAATCATGTCAAGACTACAGAAATTAAACGGAGCTGACAACTCTCTGTAGAAGGGACTCGGCAACTTTTCACTCTAGAGGGCCCACGATGCAGGAAGGAGACAGGGACCCGTCACACACACAAGCGCCATCGCCAGCCCTGATCGCCACCACCAGCCTTCTCCACGTTCCTCCAGGTCCTTACGTGGATGAGGACGTGGACGTGGACGTCTTGGAGTTCCGCCAAGGAGGTTTCCCTCGAGGGGACGGATGCTTGATGTGGTTAGGTGAGTGGAAAAGAGTAGCTGCTACATCAAGATAGGCTACTTTGTTGCAATAGACTATACTGTAACAGACTGTGGAAATCGCTTTGTTGGGCAGAATTCCCCCTTTAAAATGGAATTTCGCAACCCTCAGTAGCATTTAAATCTGACACAAAGCCACTTAGTTACTCATTCTGTTGTGCTATATCCCCAGTGTTCAGAACCTTCTCTCTCTCCCTCCACCCCTTTCCTCTCTCTCCTCAATATGTTGCCCAGACTGGTCAAGCAATCCTCCTGCCTCAGCCTGTCAAAGTGCTAGGGTTACATGTGTTAGCCACCATACCCTCCAAGAACCTTTTACTACTTGGTGTTATGTGACTTTTCATTTATGTCTCATCCCAGGATCAAGGATCCCCAGTGAGAGTCCAAACTCTCTCCTTAGCTCACCATGGTCTAGAAGTTTCTTTCTCTAGCTCTTCTCCCCTACTAAGCTGCAAACTTTAAGACCAGAATTCTTGCAAGACTCATTCCTGTGTCACCTGAACTCCCCACGTCAGCATGTGGCAGACCACAGTTCTTAAATGAGCAAAACAAAAAGAACAAAATGCTCTGAGTTCAAATGGAACCCATGGAAAGAAATTAACAGGTGCTAAGCACTTACTCGGGGAACCAGGCACTTGGGTATAGTCCCGCATTTCACCCGCATACAAACAGTTCTGGGAAAAGGAACTAGGTCCAAGCTGCAACTAGGAAACCAAGGCACCAAGCGTCTATGTGGCCACCCCAAAGTTACCCAGTTAATCCGGAGTAGGACAGCTTGTAGGACTCCATCACTCCACGGTGCCTTTCAAAGCCTGGGGGGTGGTGAGGAGGGGAACCGAGGCTGCCGAGTCAAAAATCCACCCAGGAGGAGGTCACTGGTGGGCGGTCATGATGGTCCCCGAGCAACTCCCAGGCCAGCTTCGAAGCAGTTCCAGCGGGTTCCACTTGCGGCCAGGAGCATGGACTTCCGCAGGAGCAGGTCAACCCAGCTCCTGCGGCATTTATCCACGCCCTCCTCCTCTCCCCACTTATTCCGCTTAGAATATCATTTTCAGCCTCATTGCTGACCTCAAATCCAAATATTAAAGAGACGTCCCCGATATAGTCCTGAAACTGAAGCCTCGTTCCGCACTTTTGTTCTCTTCAAACCTCTCTTTATTCCGCAATAATAAAAATGCCGTATTTCATCCCAGAACAGGCTGCATGCCAAAATAAACAGCACCTTGGATTTCCTTGAAAAGAGAGCTTGGCTCAAAGCACAGCCTTACTGCCACGAGAATTCTTGGAGAATTCACCCTTTACAAAGTCAAATATGTAGCAAGGTAGGACACCCAGCAGCAACCTGGCCAGTCCCCGCACAATCCCTTGCAAAGACAAAGCACTCTTTCCCAAAGAGAGAGAGAAAACGCACTGGTAACTCGGACGGATCCTGCCAGGATGATGCGAGCTCCCCGGTTCCCCAGCCCGGGACCCCACACTTCCCTGTGCAAAGCAGCGGGAAGCATCTGACAGCTGCTTCCAGCACCGAGAGGGCTGAGCGGACACCGGGGTGGGGAGATGCACTCCTGCAAAACATCCTGCCAACAATGCTCCAGCAGGCTCCCTTCCCGCAACCCGGGAAACAAAGCCCTAACTCAGGCTCCGTCAATGACACGTTCACCCAACCTCATGCACTCCCACCCCACACGGTTTGCAAGTGTGTGTCATTTCTGCCCGCATTGCAGCAGCTGGATCTGGGCTCCACGAGGAAGAGGAGCCGGCTGGAGGAAGCCGTGCCCACATCCCCTTCCCTTGCATTCTCCTGCTGCGTAGCCTGGAGTGGAGGAGCACTCGTCTCCTTCCCAGGAAGCAGTCTAGGCTGCGGGACAGAGCTGACAGCTCATGCATTCAGCACTGCCGGGTCTGCTTCCCAGCCGCTCCAGGACTTGGTCAGATGATCCGTGACCTTGCTGGAAAAGCAAACGCTGACTTCCTTTTTGCTCCCGGGAATAGGTGAGTGGGGTCACCAAGGCATTCGCTGCTAAGAAGCAAATACTGGATCTTGCAGAAAGAGGAAGAATGCTCGAGTCCTTCAACTGGGAAGTTAGTTCCCTGAGCTACCATCACTACGGGGGACACATCTAAAGACGCCCAAACAACACGGAACCTTCCTTCTCGACCCCCCTGAATCTGGCAGCTCATCCGAGCAGCCACAATTAATTGTGCTTCCCTCCTTCCTCCCGGCAGCCGACGTGGCTCATTAATGAA